GTCAAATAGCTTCTGAGAGAGGCTTTCGAATGATGATAATCGTTAATTAACAAATTAATTTGTTTACGTGCAATAAACAAAGACAGGAGGTTTTGATGAGACAAAAAAAACAGCTGAACAATTTCAAAGAAACAGCTAAAGTCTGTTATTCGAGGACTCAATAAAACGAACTAGTGACTCCTTCTAGTCGCAGGCAAGTTCATTTACATTGATCTTAATTCGAGAGAAATGGAACTCGAACGGCCCCCGTATCAGATCATCGTTAAAATTTGACTTACTTCCAGACTGGCAGCTTGTAAACTGCGATCAGCCATGTAAATACGTTATCTTAGTCGCTAGATTTTTACCGTGTGCACTGACAAGTCAAGTGCATATTTTTGCCGCGATCGGTCTAATATCATTAATAAACTGGTTCGCGCGCGCCGACGAACGCCAAGTGGAATGAGATGACATGGAACACTGACCGGTTGACTCTGTTTTACGATTAGAGGCTGCTCGAGCCCAAGTACGAATGGTGTCGCCGATTATATTAGAAAGAGCGACCATTAACAACCTTCCGATATCGTTTGATAACGCGTGGTGGCGACCGTCCGCCGCGACATTTGCATATCGGTTACGGTGGCGCGAGACATGTACATCACCACCGGATTGCCTCGGGAGTCGCAAAACAAATCGTCGGCAGGCTAGAGAAACGTATACCTGCTTTATAATCGAAATCTCTTATAACTGTATTTCAAGTGTCACGCCGAGTGTACTTTCATATCTGATTGTACGGCGGACGGTGTGTGTTCACTCACCCTGATCGAGTAATACCGTGGAAACAAGGGCGTGTTTCGCAGCGATTATCCTCGCCACCGTTTACGTTTGCCGTATCAGGTTCGTTTCGTAGAAGAAATACAGAAATCCATCCATTTGCCGTTTTCCAATAATAGTTACCAATAATTTGTCCCAATATAATAAGATTACAGATTCTTAATATCTATCTAATCATATACATGCTTTAAAGTAAGTAACTTTAATTATATTTGGAAAAAAATTATTTTATGCTTGTATTTACATTTGTATTTTTTATCTCTGTCTCTTATTCTTTTCGAACAAAATATTGTAAAATGTATTCATATATTATAAGAATTTTTTTCATTTTACTTTTCAATAAAATATTAACGATCGCAACGCGTGATTTTAGGAAAAAGATTAGTATTTTTTATTTTAACAAATTAAATGAGAATTGGGAAAAAATGTATCCTGTATAATTTCGAAGAGGGGAATGACCGGAGATTAATGATAATCCTGCAGCAAACTGATTTTTCGGATTGTTGTCCCACTTTTCAAACTTCGGAATGATGATTTTATCGAGACTTTGCTTTGTCCAGATTTTTTAACACGTCTTCGCATTCCAATCATTTAACTAATGTCAATAAGTGTGCCAATAATGTTTCTTGTACGATCTGCGTCCCAAATCGAAGCGCGCCTGACATATCGATCTTTTTAATGCCACGCTAACGGTATCTCGTATCTCGCTGTTTGGACCGCTATCGCTATTGAATCGCGAATAGAATTGTATTTTTATTCAAAAATACCGCACGGGCGTGCAAAACGAGAAATATATTTGTCAAGAAATTTACATTCATATAAAATATTTCCCAGGAGATTTATACTTAATCATTGCAGATTGATTATTTGCAAAACTGCGTATAAGCAAAAAACGATCGAGAAATCTTTAATCTCGCGTGTATTTATTTATTCTCGTCTTATTAACTGGAAAGTATTTCATTCTTTCGTTAACTCAGCTTATTTTGCCGCACTATATCATTTCGCGTGTGTCTCTTGCAAAATAGAGTACTTTAACATTCGAGGTTACGTCCAGGCAATAACTAAGGAGTCGCAAAAATCTAAGCTAACTTCCAAGTGAGTCCTGCTCGCAACACGCAGAGATCGCGACACAGCATCTAGAGCGGATGTCCCATGTTCTCGAGAATATTGTCGCGACGCGGTTTATCAACTTTTTCTCTTCAACCATTGTAAGGCGTCAACCAATAATCAATGGAATTTCCTTAATTAATATCGGCATACTTTCATACTACCGTTCATTGACTTTATTCCAGTTTGACTTTCATCTTGCAGGCGTTTTCTTCGCCGCAACTTCGCCGGCAAATCTCATCCAGCTTGACAACGACGGCTGAACGACGAATGCCATAATGGCTCTCAATTGGATCCAATCTATTGTTTTTTATAAATACTTACAGAAATTATATATTGTTTTCTCTCTCTTTCTCTCTCTCGTTCTTTCTAAGCGCTTTATAAAACTAATCAATCGGTCAGTATGCCAATTGACGGAAATAATCAAGGCATTCTGAGCTTTGCTTCGAATGAAATAGATGTATCTAAGTAAATAAAGTTCGATATAGATATAAAAAAAAATAACGTACGTCATATTCTAGTCTGAGAAAAAAAAGGTTGTTCGTGATACAACAAATAATAGGGGGAAGAGCCAAATTTGGCCGAGGCTGGATGATGATTGCCCAATAATACTTTTAATTTTTTAATCTTTCAATTTCAGCTACCGTAAACTACACACTAATTACTGTTTATAAGAACGCAATTATAACTTAAGCTGAAATAATATCATATATTAAATTGATCTTAATTTTGATGATGCTGCTACAAGCATCCTAAAACATTGTAAAGAATTTTTTGCAAAAGATATTACCTCAGCTAGAATCGAATTCGGAACTTCCCATTTAAAAATATTATCAAGCAACATCTAGCCTCGGCAAAATTTGGCTCTTCCTCTTATTATTTAATTCTTGTACACGTACATCGGCCTTGTTTGAAATTTTTTTTTGTTAATTAACATTCGGCCGAGTCATACATTTTGCTCGCACAAAGTGCCTTATTCGTAATGAACAAACAAAGAAATATGCAGAAACGATGACAAATTGCAGAAGCATTCCTCGACCGTAAAGGTTTACACGAGGTTTCTACGCTACGCCGTGTAACCTGATTAGCATTCGCCCTTGGTCATTACCCTTAATAAAACTTGCACTGACTATACTTGCAATATACTCGTAAAGAAACTTTTGTCGCGAGGGAACGAAAGAAGGTGAAGGATGAACAGATCATCAAATCGCGATCATGCGTATCAATTGTTTCCTTTAAAGCAATATGGTCAACATCGAGGCAATGTTTGTACAGATTTACGTATAGGCTACAAATATAATATATTAATAATTTGGAAAACGTTTATAAAATAAATTAAAATCACAAAAATTAAGCAAAATGTAAAATTATAAGTATATGCAACAAAATGATATTAATTTAGTTTCACATAATTTGCGATTTAAGCGATATTTTAAAAAAACACTAACCAAGGTTATTTATTTATATCCTTCTTTCTCTTTCTTTTGCTCTCTCTCTCTCTCTCTCTCTCTCTCTCTCTCTCTCTCTCTCTCTCTCTCTCTGTTTACAAAATGAGAGAACATAATCCTATAAATTCACGGAAGTTATCCTTCAATTTGCGAAGCCATAAATCGTTTATTACGTCCTCTGCGATTACACGCGCGACTTACATAAGTTCAAGCCCTACTAACTGGAGTTCGGGAAAGCAAGATTTCCAGAGTGCACTATTGAAGAGTTTCGAGGTTGTTTCTGTAACGGAGGATTACTTACTACTTGCGCATAGTACTTTTGAGGAGTATACAAGTTTCCGAGAAACTCGGCCAAATTCATGCAAAACTACTGTTTATGAACTCATTTCTTGGTCATTAACCTTTAATATCCAATAAAATTGTGTCTTTTTTAATATGATGAGAGATTCTCTCATATTAAGGAAACTTATAGCTATTGTATTAGTGAGATTATTCACAATGTTAGTTGTAATAATATATTAATATTTTTTTGCAAATTTACAGTTGAAGGATATATTCTCGCAACAATGATACTTTATCAGTTTCGTTTATTTAATCAGAAAATGGATGAATAAATGTATTAGATGTCTCCCGATTATAAATAAGTCGAACTTATCACGTGCATCACTGAATTATTATATCTTGATATCCTGTCTATTTTAATATACTTACGTTACGATAAATGTATAATATTTAATTGATTATTTTCGATACAATATTTAAAAAAATGAGTAAGATCAAATAATCGATATATTTTGTCAAATATTTCTAAATAAATTACTACTGTATAATTAAATATAGAATTCATTGAACGCTCGATATATAATAAATTACATTGTTAACAATTCTTGCAATAACGTCGTGACAGGATTTACAAACGATTACAATTCTGTATGCACTTACAATTCTTACTGTAATAGATTTCTCAAAATTACTCATTTATAGACGCACGTGTGTCAGATTCACCGTGACGTTTCTCGAGCTGAACTGATAAATCCAGCGTGCCCAATAAGAAAATATTTCTTTGTTATTCAAGTCGACTAAATCAGTAATGTGCAGAGTTTAAACTCAGAATTTAAGAGCAGAACTCTATTTTCTTCACGATTTTTTATTATTCTATCAATACTATTTTAATTAATGCAATAATTTATACGTAATAGTAATATATAATAACATAAAAGATAGGTATTAATGAAATAATTTTATAAGATATAATTAGAGAAAAAAAGGGAGGGAAACGAAAAAGGAGTTCAATTTTTTCATAAAGAAATTTTTCCAAATTAGTTCGTTCGAAGATATGTAACTTATAATACCGCGAGAATTTCTTCAAACATATCTTACAATTAAGATCTTAAAAATACCGATTAAAAAAATGTTCTGACCAGGATATCATATTCTCGTTATTTGTTTATACTTTTATATCCCTTTTCTTTTGGGCTACCAAACGATGGATATGTTGAATATATATTCCTCGGATTTTCATGGTAATTCGTTCATACTGGTGAAATGTTCTCGCCGAGGGAAACGCGAGAACTTGCATACGAGAGAGAGACAGAGTGAGGGAAAGAGAGAGGACGCGGCAGGGAGGGAGAGGACGTTTAAATACGAGCAGAAGCGCGCGCGCTACTTCAGTCCGACGCTAACAGTCCAAACTGGTTGGTATCTGCATCTCGGAGGAAGGCAACAACCCTCCCTCTACTTTCTGTCTTCGATTTCTTCCAAAAAAAAAAAAAAAAAAAAAAAGATCATCGAACAGATAACGGAAAAATTAGTATTCTCCTCGTTTGTGAGAAGAACGAGGGAAACGTAGCGGTCACGAGGAGTTTCTGGTTGACGTCCCGGAAACGACCGTGGATCTCCCGGCTGAATTAAAAGTCAAAACGAAAAGAAGGAATACAGGACGGAAGAGTGTGTAGTTATGTGCTAGTGAGACTCGGGCAAAAAGATACACCCCAGCAAGGCATTAATCTAGTCACGATGACAAACAGCATGAAGCAAACGGTTATCAAGTGAGTTGCCGCAATAGTTAAAAACATTTGTTAAAAACAACATTTATTGGCGATAGCAATAGCGATTCTTTATGAGAGTATATTTCCCGAACCATTTTTTCACCCTAAGTGCAGTTATCTGTAGTTCATAAACGAATTTGATGTTATTCTTATGATGTAGTAACATGCAAAACATGTTCTATAACGACGTTAAGGAAGTCAAATTTAGGCTGTTTTTGTAGAGACTAAATTATTCATAGAAAATAACAATGAAAAAATATTTTTTACTAGAACGCGTATCGATTTCCCATTATTTGTTCCTGAATTGTAAAATTTGTATCGATATCTTAACATGCAAATTAATTTATTATTTAAATTTCAGAAAGAATAAAAAAATATTAATACTATTATATAAGCAACAGTTGTAGAAACATTCGGAAATTCTGCAAAACATACAAAAATTTTTGCAATAATCAATTGTCGTTGCTTGCATAATAGTATTTTTGTTTTTTTACTGTATATTTAGTTTTGTATACTTCTATAAATCTTTGAAACAATTATAATTTTTCTTGAAATGTTACAACTCTAATAAATTTTTATTTTTTTAAACGATTAAAAATTTAAGATTTTTCACAAATTAAATTGTAAAGCAAGCAAATAACAAAAGTTTCTTCTTATTTTTTTTGCGCAAACAACTTGCTACGGGAATGTCTTTTTAACTTTTATCTATATAAATGAGAAACTTATACATTTACATGGAAAAGACACGTGTCTGGCAATCGTAAACTGCTGACACGCTATCCATACTGGAACACTTTTTGCGATCTTTTTTTATCATTGTATTAGCAAAGTTTTGCCATGGACTACGTGCTTGCAACTTATGCAACGTTGTTAAAAACTGGTCGTCCAATGAAACTCGGTGAAATAAATCGGAAGAGTATTTCATAAGAGATGAAAGCGTCTTAAAGTCCGATAACGAATCGCGATTATTATAATGAGTATCAATTATTGATCAATGTATCCGAGTTCTTCTTAGAGTTTCATCCTCCTGCAGTATAGTTTCTTAAATAAAGAATTATAAAGCAATTTCACGAGAAAGACCGATACTTTTATGCAAAATAAATATCTTACGCATTGATCTGTTACAGTTTCACATCGAATCGTGATCTAATTTTGATTTTAAATTTTACTTGTCGAATATGTAAATCTGGATATAAAACGTGTAAACTTTTAAGTTTATTGCTGAATTTTAATTTCGAAGATACTGCTGTATAATACAAGTATCTGCAGACGTATCTATTACTCCAGTCATATCATGATGATTATATAAGTCATTGCTTGCAATTACAACAAGCAATGTGTAAATGAGACTGACACGATATCAGTCAACATCGCATTCACATCTCGCGAATTTACTCCGGTTTATTGTTATCTTGATTTATAGATCAAGATACCAATGTACCAATGTAAACTAATATTAATATTTTTGTAAAATAGTACTATAATTTTTCTTATTTTTATTACATAGTGACAAAATATTAATTTGTAGAACCAATTAAATTGTGCACAATAAAACTTCTATTATGTCAGATAACATATCTGAACGTTAGATTATTCAAACAGTTCATCTAGAAAGTAAACATTCAAGAACTTGAGACAGCTCAGAATAATTGGATAAATGTAACAGACGATGAAGTAGAAGACTGTTAAATGCGTTGTTACATTAATTATCAAATTTAAAATATAAGTCGTAATTTCTACAAAAATCGATTATCCGAATAATCTGATGTTACTTATATTTAATAAATCAAATATTGCAATTAGTATGGGTGGAAAAGCTGTTATTGCCAGGCCAGGGCATCCACTCAAGAATGATGATAATATTTTGACCAATCTAATCACTTTTATAAATATTAAATAAATTATAATAAAATCGATATAAGCGTGCAGTTAGTAATTATTTTTACTTTCGAGCCATATGTTCCATCTTATTAAACATTTGTAGTAGGCGGACATCCGTATCGGATCTGGAGCGTTATAACGTTTATCGGCTACCGTGGTAAATCGCGAGTATCAACACGAGCGAGTCTATTAAGGCTGCAGTTCAGCTATGCAAATGAAAGAACATGACATTTTAGCGCAACGAGAAATCTCGCGATTTCAATGCACGCAGGGACAGCCAGTGATAAAACGTACCAGGCGTTGATGTTACGCCAAGAACCGGCCGGCCATTGCGCCGCGCAGAGTAAAAAAAAAAGAGCAATCAAGACGTAAAAAAGAAAAAAAACCATCCTTTTGAAAAACTATTAGCTACAGCGAGCTTCGGTTACTTTAATAAATATTCATATAATTACGTGTCACGCCATTTCTCAACAATCTTGACCTTGCGCGAGCATACATACATAAAGAATATATCATAAAAGTCAGCAAAATACGTCCCTCCTCGACAACTTGCTTCGCACAGACGAAGACCGTTTATCGCACAAGGATACGAAAATTCATCTTGACTCGTAAAATCGTATAAAAAATTACAACTGTTACTTCCGAGCACAAAAACTTATTTTATGATTTGCGCGCAGTTGCAATTTGCACGCACATTACATACATTACAAAGAAACTTTAACCTTGGTTAATGTTTTAACTACAACGCTGTGGTTATCAAACGAAATTATGCATAATGATAACGTCGCCGTATTCTCGTTATTCTCTACAATAATAATGTTTCGAGCAGTACTCTTGAGAATTGCTTAGCTCAACTCTTTAACTCTGCAGTATGCCTCTGTGTGTATAAAGTCTATATAGTTGACACAGTTAGCAATTTGAATTATAATTGCTTAGACTCAATCAGAACTACGTCACAATTCGCTATACGTAGTAGTAATTCATTAGTTATTTAAAAAATAAGAAAAAATTACACTGTAATTTCACATGCAATTACATGTAATTAAAATCATGTAATTACATATTATATAATATCAAATGGGGAACACATTGCGTGTATGTTCACAGTCTTATATTGTCCAATTGCAAACGTATAAAAAGATTTTTTTAAATGTACGCGAATAATGATTGTGATACGAATCACTTTCCCATCGGACAGAAATTTTTTTGTGTACGGAAGTAATTTAATGCTGAGAGAGAAATGACGTGTCATGGCAGTAAAATATCGCAGTGGCAAAATAATATCAAACTCATGAACTCATGAGTATGATTGGTACGCACGAGGTGAAAGTCTCTTGCGAGGTACGAGCCGGGCATTGGAAGCGTTTACGGCTCATGGTGCAAGTTTACAAACGCTTGTATCGAGTTATTACGATGTTACGACAGCTGCGCCGTCGAGACGCAATATGTATGTAAAATTCGAGCGATCCCATTTAACTTCCTTGTCGGATAAACCAACCTTCGGATAAATCGATTTCATGAAAGTGTAAACTTAACAATGTATTGCGTGTGACACGTGCCTAATTATACAAATACTTTACGCATAGTGCACATAAATGCATGCATTGTCTTGTCTGCAATTGTAATATATTTAACATTTTTGTAATAATAATAATAATAATAAGTACAGTATTTAAGTAATTTGAGAAAGATTATATTGAAAAGATAATAAAATTACATAAATATATTATTTTGTTATATCACAAATGGTTATCTCCACGCGTACGTCTATCGCTTGTTACGTATTGTTTATTCGAGAAAGTAAAAAAGGAGAGAGTGTGCATAGATTAGAAAAAGCATCGGAGCCATGTGATAGAGATAAATTCTCGGGGGCTTTTTATCTGCTCCTTTCAATGTGGCTATAATGATAATTGGATATATTTATATCTCTCTAGCCTCCATATATATCCTCGAAACTTCGACGAAAGTTTTGATAAAAGAACGTCAGTTTCTTTTTCAACGTATAGCGGACATTATAAAGTTCCTCGGACTTACTGCTTCGACGGAAAAGGTTTTATTTTTTCTTTTACGTACAAAGTATAATTTTATAAAAGACACGAGCAGAGCAAGGGAAATATCATTCGTGTTGTGTGATGATTCATTTATGTTTTCTTCTTGCGAAAATCGTGAAGAAATCAACTTGCATAAAAATCGCTGACTTAATGATATTTTCAATGTGACCCAGAATTGCTAATACAACATTACACAATTACATAACATATGACCTATACAATTAGTGACCTACATTTTTTATACTTTTATATTTTTTTATATTTAATCTGGCAAATTTATAAATCCTTTAAAATCTTCTCTCTATTTCCATATGAATATTAAATCACATATATTTATTATAATTTATTCATAGGTTTATAAGTATTTCAATTTTTTCCATTCGGAATATTGCAGATTATCTCATTAAAAATCCTAAAATTTACACTAGGAAAGATGTTACAGCAAATACGTATATATTATTTATTATAATATTAGTAAATAAATAAAATACTTAGAAAAGATATGCTAATTTTCGGAACACACGTCGTAACAGTTGTGTATCGAGTTTCGTAAGAGTTACACCGTGTGCGAAAAAAAAATCTTTCGCGATTTTCAGTAACATTCCTTCGGCTTTCATAAAATGTGCCAGGCACGGTCAAATTGATATTCCAAACACGTCCAGTAAATCCATCACATTTGCCAAACAACGAGAATCAGAATTAATTTCGCGGTCTTAAAGAAGGTCTTCCTGTCTTACCTTGCGGTTTACGACAGTCGCGAATTGCAAAGGTCGGCTGAAAGACGGAAAAGTCACGCTAATCTGCACGCCAACTGCACTGCCGTAATTTGATAATTGGGAGTAAATTGAGAATAAAAAGCCCGTTCAACTTAAGCCGCGCGACCTTCTCCGTTGCGAAAATCTGCCGTTACGCCGTCGTCATCGTCATTATCGTTGTCCCGCGCCCACTCAAACTGGCCCCCGGTCGACCTCGTTGTCGTACAACGGGAATATCGAAAACACGCGAAAGCTCATGACACTCGTCGTCTGTCAAAAGTATACCTCACCTGCAATCCCGTTAAAAAAATTTGCACATATGATACTCACAAACACGTACGAATTTTAAAAGTCATGAGTGCTTCTCATTTGTCCGACATTTTTTATATTGAAAATATAATATGCTGATAAGATAAACGTGAAATTTTTTCATTTATTCATTTTCTTGAATTATGATAACATTTGGCATACGATTAATTCGGAAAAGATATACGAACAGTATACGAAAAAAATGTATATCTTAAATTTATAAAAATCCATGTAAAGATATTCTCTAAATGGATTCTCATTTGTCTGATATTTTATAATTAAAAATAATATGTTGATAAGATAACCATGAAGTTTTTTTATTTAATCATTTCCTGGAATTATAATGACATTTGGCATACGATTAATTTGGAAAAGATGTTATATAAACAGTATATTAAAAAATATATCTTAAATTTATAAAAATCCGTATAAAGATATTTTCTAAATAGATATAATTTTATTATTTTATTGTTATTTTTATCGTGTGTATTATATTTATTGATTTTTATTTTATTCTTATAGAAGTTTATTTTTATGACGAGTCGAATATTAGAATCTCTTTTTCACGCGTACTGTTATAATATAATTCAAATTAATATCTAAACAATTAAAAGTAGTATATTTTGTTTTATCAGAGTACAACGCAATACATTGTTGCGTCTCCTCATGCTAAACCATATTTCTAGCAAGCGACTCACTGGTGGAGATTGATTATCGCGCCGTGCATTATAATACTCGCGGAGTCCGGCAATGCGCCATCGTGTAATTTACGAGAATTGGAAAATGTACCGTCATCAGAACTACCCACGAGGAGTCGTGCGACGTCGCGAGTATGAACGGAGCCAAGGAATGAGACGAGCGAATAAAAAGATAGATCAATGAACTATATAACGTGTAGCGCGAGCCAGTCATTTAGAACGAGCCGTAAAGATAATAAGGCCACGATACTGAAAATATAACATGCGTTCGTCGAGATAATGAAATGATCGTTCATATAGAGGCCGAAGGACTCGGAGATTACGAGGAAATCACGAGCGGCAATCTGAGCAATCGGTATTTTAAATATAACAACTCTACTACTAATTCTCAATAAATCTACCTACATGTTAAGAGAGTAATACAAATCGAGAGATTAACTCGCCACATATCTTATTTTCTTGCTAATATTAATTAAAATAATTACTGCGATAATTAGACCTCTTTTTATTCAGTGCTAGATATTTCCCAAAGAAAAAGTTAAAAGTTATTAAAAATAAGTTATTAAAATATTGTGATGACTAATTCAATATAAATATCAAAATGTCGACCGTCATTTCTGTCACTAGTTGTTACGGATTAATGTTTAGCAACGCCGGTGTTCCCATTTCTAATAAAGGAATAATTATTTATACGATTAAAGAGGTAAACGCGGACGCATTCATTGCGGCTCACTTCCATTCTGGAATTAACGTTGCGCCAAGCGACACAATGTGACGGTATACGGCATTCTAACGTATAGAGGGAAGAGGGTCAGGTAGACGATTAAGAGGCGCCAGGTCATGGCACGTGAAGGCGATGTCACGCGCGTCTTCCTCACTCGTGCGTCTCTTCATTATGATGCAGCTCGCGCCGCTTTACCTTTCTGTCAGTCCTGTGGCGACACAGTTTCGCGGTCGCGTCGCGGTACTCGGTCCGTCCGGGCACACCAGGCCGTCACGTGCACCGGTGAACGTATCCGCGAGGACAGCGCGCTCGATGGAGGGCAACGGGGTGTTCCGATAACACCTATAACACGCGAATCGATTTTCCATGCGACGAGAGGCGTGACGACGATTACGCGAGCAGCGGGAATGATTTAGAAGGAGCAGCTTTGCTCCGCTTCTTAGTTTCCAGAAAGCTCGAAAATTACACTCGATAACATTGATAAAATTACGTAAGCGAATGTGAGATAATCTCTTATTAATTGACCTAATTCAGAAGTTCTATTTTTTAAATATATAGAAAATAAATTTCTTACTGAACGTAGTCCTTTGTCCTCCTTCTTTTTATGTAAACGCGTGAAATAATCGAGAAAAAATGTAGTTGATTCGTCAAATTATATAAGTTTTCTTATATAATTTGACAAATCAACCACATTTCTCGCTTCGTGCACGATTACACATGATGTGCATGCAACATCAAAGTTTATCGCAGGATCGCTAAAAGTACGCTCATTCTCACGTTCAATTATGTCGTCAGCTGGTGTTATTTGCAAAAATGCACGTGTCAGCGTGTCTGGAGAAATAATTATATCTCGTATAGTAATAACTTCAACATTGTGCTCGGTAATTATCACTTTTATCTCTATGAAGTTATCGAAACCGGAATAGATTCGTAAATTCTATATAAAGGAATGTGCAAAGTGGAGTTTTAGAAACATTACTAAACGGTTTAATGTATATACCATTAATCGAAAAACGTATATCTATCCTTAAATATAATATTGATGCAAATTATTGAATATCATGTTCTTTTTTTTTATTATCCTATAAGTTATATAAGTCTTAGGCCATTAAACTCGTGGCTTGAAATATTCTGCAACGCGGATATTGCTATCAACTCAACTGCGATACAGATACCATCTTATACGTACGTTAATTTCGCATGTAGTCGCCTCGCCGATCAATCCATCGCGATCCGACGATGGGGCTTGATTGCTTGGTTAGTGGCGCGACAAATATGGAATACGGACCGTAATCTCTCGCCGAACCCCGAAGGTAAATACCGCGAAATCATAGGATAATCATACTCTAATCCTTTTCCGCTACATCGTCGATACTTCGATGCGCAGTTACTTAAAAGCATGAGTATATATATATATATATATATATATATATATATATATTTAATAACAATCGAATAATGAATCGATAAAAATTTCCCGCGAACTTTTCTTTTCATCCTTATTCAACTGACTTATTGTTAGATGAAACAGTAATTAATTTTCCTCGTTTTCTGTCAAAGAAGTATCTAATTTTATAACATCTCAAAACAGACATCAAGTTTCCATTTTCTTTACTTATACATCATTTTACATCATATAAATGTATTAAGTATTAAACTCATAAATTTGTTAGGGTCAAGGCCGCGCATCAGATGTGGACGATACGCGGCATTGACTCCGATATTACGCAATGGAGGATATGCTTCAGCGTGTGTCGTTGCATCTCGGATGAGGTCAATACACCCATTGCATTACGCACGCTATGAGTTCCATTATATCCTCTCTATCATCCTAAGTACCTACATTCTCGATGTATTTACACGCGCACGCGGGTACGTCGCGCATTGTTCGCGAGATAAAAGCACATATGACAAAAATCAATAACTGCCATTGTAGATATTGTACATACATCGATTATATCTTGCGTAAATGCAGTCTGCACGTTCTGATTGCTGATATCAACAATTTTCTCTCTGCGTTTATCTTTTTTTATTTTTTTTTCCATTTATATATCGATATGTAATATGACTTAGAAAATCGTCACGAACAATTGTGCGGATGCATAGTAAAGTAATATAAACAACCGTACGACAAGAAAGATAAATGCGATGATAAAGTATGCGTGACTTTTGATGATCAAGACAAATCGATTTTAATAACTTGTTGTTATTGGGGAAACTTGTAACATACCTACATTGCGCAACTATTGTGATATGTCATGAGGAAAAAAATCTAAAGTTGACATTGAACCCTAAGTTAAAAAAAAATAAACAAATACCTACGTAATATAAATAGTACTATCATTACGGAAACTGGCCTTATCTTATTGTATAATGAATGCTAAAATTTTGCAAAAATTGTGACGATAACTTGATAAAGCAGCATTGCGACATTTTCGTGTACACACGAGTTCAGCCTGTTTATATTTCTCAACGCGTTCTCTCGGACAAGGTCTCGCTAGCCGATTATGCGAGAAATTTAATGCGATCTCGCGAGATGATCGTAAACATAAAACGCAGAAATGGCGCGGAGCTGGGACGAAGATAAAAATCCGACTGCGGTTTGCCTTTCGCTCACTGTGCGAATTGTCCGCCGTGAAAGACAGCAATTCTCTCACCGGATAGGAAAAGCAATCCATAAATTCCGACGTATGCTACGTGCTTTAGATCCAAAGTGGCATTTTACTGCGCATTCGACATCATACGTCCACGTATACACGCGCGATATAAAAACATGGAGAATCGATTTCACGCGCGGAAATCAATGAAAAATAAAAAGGTACGGTGTATCTTTGAACATATATGCAGTAATATCCCCGTGCGTAAAACCGCACTTATTATCAAATGGCAAGACGTAACTGATCTCTTTGTAATATCCTTATTTACATTATGTAAATAAGGTTACAGTATGTATAGTTTCTATGTTCCAGGCAGATGTACATTTCTTTGTGATATGCATATAGAAATGATAGTATAGAATGTAGGATTTCGATAGCACAATACATTATTTATACAGAGAATATACGTAGATGACCAGCATTGTTTCACGCGCGATTAAACTCGGAAACACGATGCAAGCATTAGCATAATTATTGTGAGGATTACATCGAGAGGATTTTGCAGTTCGTATTACAAAGCGTATACTGTTTGAAGCAAGTCGCGACAATAACTTGCGATTGCCGGCACGTGCAATAACGCTCGAATAATCGCATAATTCTTAACTTAAAAGTGTGGTAAAGTTAAGTTTATGAAATACAAAAAATAAGTACAGTCATCCCTCTTACACGCAATACTAATGCGAAAAAAAATTATGACTGCAAGGTACAAAAGGTATTTCACAGGTGTCAGGTACAAAAAGTATTTCTCCGGAGAAAAAAATACGAAATTATTCTGTGATTAATATTCGTATTTTTAATACAGCTTTAGTCATAAATCTGTATATATTTTTAGGGATAATGTAATTTTGATTGTGTCGTTCCTTTCACTTTATGATTTTCGTGCAGAAACCCGACATGGTGGAAGAGGCGGTCCGGTCTGGAACGCGGGTTAACGGTGATAGCGGTTTCCGGGTTCCTCTTGTGCATCGCTTTGGCGGTCGCTCTCGGAATTTTGGCGACCAACATGACATGCAACACCACGTCCAAGACCGGTAAGAGCACTCACTTTTAGCGCAACACGAGCCGTTCACCACGCTGCATGTATGTATGTTGCAAATGTATTGTTTGAGAAGCACAGAAGCGAGACCAGCACTTTCCTCTTTTTAGAGATTTATGTTGAAATCGAAAAAACCTCACTCACGTGTAGCTTTGAATGAATCGCTTGGATCTTCTTTATCTCAAAACCGTATAATCCGTATAAAGAGAAATATTGAATGTTAATTTTGTTATACGTTTTTACCTGGAAATAACACAGTAAAGTTTATAGGATGATTCACCAGTCAGAAACAAGATAGATAAATATCTCTTAAATTTGAAAGTGGAAAAAAGAACACAATTCAAATGATTCCGAATATCTCTAGCATTCTAAAACTTTTAAACTTTTAATATAAATTAAATAATATAATTTTGTTTTATTTTTCTCATAACTTATTTTGTATAATAAAACCGCGACTCTTACTTTTGTATATTAAAATGCAATATCGAAGAAGATCCAAGCACATAAGTGTCGCATTTATGTTCTTTATTTGTGAAAGACTGTCATTATATGACATTTCTGCATATGCGGGATCTGATTTATCTCAATATATAATCTTTCTAGAGATTTGAAACTTTGTTTTTCAAATGTGTCTGATTTTCTCAAAACAAAAATTATTAACAGCAGTTCTTTTTACTTTAAAACTTTTGCATATTGAAAAGAATATTTTATTTCTACTCGAATTTAAATTTGTAAAATTTATCCGATCCTGCACATGCAACAGCAAAGTATCATGCACCGACATCTGTCATTACAAGACGTTAGTCTCGCGTTATTGCGACAAAAGACATCACTTAACATCATTCCAATTGCATTAATGCCCGAAGCGAAATTACTAGGGACGGGCAAATCATAATTTCTTGCAACATGGTAGTGGCAGATTTTTGTAGTAGCTTACGCAGTAAGCAACTTGCAACAGAAAAAATCTAAATTGATATCTTTTTAACTCTACTGATATAACAAATTTAACTTAACTGATATAACAAATTTCGAGAAAAATTTAACTATTTAAGTCATCAAAAGGTTCGTTAGACTAATAAATTTCTGTTGCTTATTATAGAAATTTACAAACGATAATTTCCAATACATTAAAACAGATAGAGTTTTCTCTGTGATATTAATTTACACAAATCAATTATTATTAAATAAATTTGAAGGAGAAGAATGTGTGGAATGCGTAATAAAAGTGACTAATAAAACAGCTAAATTTACTTTGGTACCGGGAAGATGTTAATGGAGATTTTAATGGTATTTAAATTGTACACTTTTAATTGCCGTTAGAAGTATCGTCATGATTATTTTATCGAGTCTTACGCATCGCTTTTCCTTGATATCTCGAAATGGGGATCCGCGCCTTTTAATGCAACAAGCGATGAATATGTTTACGATCGATGCCGTTCGGTAACGGTACGTACCCGAGTCGTAAAAAATTTTAACTGTGCGAAAGTAAGAACCGCGTAATTGCAGCACCGTCATCGTAAATTTTATTTCTACGTCGGCGCCTCTTATATCAAAGGCTCCACCCGCTCATTAAAGGAGAATTACGTTGCCAAAATGCTTCCGCATTGGGTTACAGAAAGCTCTGTCATTTGACCAACAACATATATTTCAACATAGCGACGTGTCTTCAATTCGCGAGGAAGTCGTAATACACTAAGAAACTAACGGCGAATTTCATGACGTGCAATTTAAAGTGACGTCAAAGAAAGGGTGATTCTGACGCATTTTGATACTTCCAGCGAGTAAATGCTGTTTTGAGAATTACTCACTCGCCACGCGAGTGTGTATTTGCACTAGTGTAACAAGTCGTTAAATGCGTAATCACGCGTCAGTGATTACAATGCGCACACCTCTCATGATCTAATATTTTGATTACGCGTCGATCTGGCATCGAGCTCGGCGAAAACGTCATTACTGACGCAATCGAAAGATATTTTCGGAAAGTATTTTTAAAGAAACGACGGGGGATAGTTAGTCAGTGCTCGGTGGTTTAACGTTGTCTTAGGCAACGATTGCCTTTTCCTATATATAAACACATGTCGTGATTATAAACACACGTACGCAATCTGACGAGGAATAATGATAGATGAAACAGTACGCGACCTTTAAGCAAACACGATCAGATTGAGAAAGAGAGAGAGAAAGAGAGAGGGAGAGAATCGCAATTAAAAATCTTATTCCAATCTGTACGTAATCAATTGAAAAATAATGTTTTATAAATTCATGCGCGTTTCTTATAACATAGATAGTTTAAATTAAAATTGTAGTTTAAAAAAATAACTTCTTTTCAAACTACATTTCGAAAGAAAGAAAAAGTTTTATGTTTTTTAACAAAATGGATTAATAATTTAATCGTACATAAACATACATACTGCACAATACACGCATGCCAGCAACTTGAGAAAGTAACGATATCACATCCCATTCAGTGTATGCAATTTAAGTTTTATCACAGCTTGTGTGTGCCCCAATGCTTCGCATTCATTAATTTGTCGCTGTTATGCATTGTTTTTCGCACCTGCAATCGCACCTACATCCGCACGAGAACAGATACTGTTAACGTAGAGATGCTACCGTCCACAGCCGAGGCGTTAAGCGGTTCGAAAACACCGACGAATATGATACCAAAGGAAACGAAATGTGACGATGTCTGTTTAACATCTGAATGCGTTCACACAGGTTAGTAAAGTATTTAAATAGAAGAAATAGCTTTAAAATATTTAAAATTAAAAATAAAAATAAAATCTAAATAAATAATTTTAATAACATTTTCTATATTTATGTCAATAAAAAAAATATGTAGTTTCATCATGTTTGAGAACACTATTTTGCCTGGAGATATTGGACTGTACTAATCTACTCAACATGTATGTATCGCAGCTTCTAAAGTAATAAAAAACATGAATCCCGATGTGGAGCCCTGTGATGACTTTTACAAATTCGCCTGCGGTGGCTTCCTCGAATCTACAATTATTCCTGACGACAAAACTAGCGTGACTACGTTCTCTACTATCGTTGATGATCTCGAGGAACAACTGCGGCTGAGCATCGAGCAAGAGAGTCCTCCAAACGAGCTAAGACCATTTACACTTGCGAAAAATTTCTACAAATCCTGCATGAACAAAAGTAAGTAGTTGCAACGTTAAATTACATTATAAGTCGACAAGTTTAAAAAATGCAACAGAATCAATTAAATTCACTAAAATTATAGCAATTTGGGCTATTTTAATGCGTAATATGTTGGAAGAATAACTGCATTGCACTTATTTTGCAAATTTTTAATTTTGAAATCAATGTATATATAACGCCAATAGTGAAAGGATAAGAAAAATTGTTAACAAATTTTTTTTTAATTTATATTTGCTATTTCTTTCAGCCGCTATTGAGGAGAAAGGTTTGACACCATTATTGAACAATCTAAGGAAACTCGGTGGCTGGCCCGTTCTGGACGGCGAGAGATGGAACGAAGGCGACTTCACTTGGAAAGATTCCGTCTACAAATTTCGCAGACTGGGCTATTCCGTTGACTACTTCATCGATTTCGGCGTCAGTGTCGATTTAAAGAACAACTCAAGGCGTTTAATCGATGTAAGAACAAAACAATTTAGCCTAAATATTAGATCCTAAATATTATTATCCAGAATAAACGCGGAACGAATATCATAATTTATAAATACAAAATCATATATAAAGTGGAATAATAATAAAATATAATGTAATTAGTTATAAAATAATATATAATATATAATAATATAAAAAATAAGTTTTTTTCTTTAATTGTAAGCCAAATACGATTTTTGTCTTCAAGAGTACACGCTCTAAAAATAAAAACTGATAATGTTTTATAGCTCGATCAAGCAGCACTCGGACTATCGCGCGAATATCTGTCGAAAGGTTTCAACGAGAAAATCGTCCAAGCATATTACAAGTATATGGTGGACATCGCTATAATTCTCGGAGCCAATCCAGATCGAGCTAAGAGAGAATTAAAAGAATCACTTGAATTTGAAATCAAGCTCGCGAACGTAAGTCATCCTTAATTATTAATCGATACAAAATAATTTTAAATAGAGTTTCGAAAAAATTTTCAAATCACCGATCGATTGAAATTAATGTTAATTGATTAATCGGACAAATATGTACGCAGATCTCGCTGCCCAATGAGAAACGACGAAACGTGACTCTCCTCTACAATCCCATGACTGTGAATAAGCTGTCCGCTGCCTATCCTAGCATACCGTGGTGGGAATACTTTAACACCATCCTCGCACCGCAAGCACAGCTAAGTCAGGACGAGATAGTTATCGTGAACGTGCCAAGCTATCTAAAGGACTTCGAACAGCTCATCACAACGACGCCGAAGAGGGTGCAGGCAAACTATGTCCTTTGGAGAGCAACTGCTGCTTCGGTTAGCTATCTGACGGATGACATTCGGAAAAGGCAGCTGAAGTATACAGTTGAGTTAAACGGTAAAACAGAGAGAGAACCAAGATGGAAAGAGTGTGTGGACATCGTTTCTGGCAGTATGGCAATTAGCGTTGGCTCGATGTACGTAAGAAAGTACTTTAAAGAGGATGCGAAGAAAACTGCACTCGAAATGGTCGACGATATCAGGCAGGAGTTCACAAAGATCTTGAAGAAGGTGAGACATTATACGAAAATTTTAATTTAATTTTGTCACATGTATCTTTATCAATAAATTAGAATTTTGAAAATGAGATTTTAGTTATCTATATTTGTTCTTAAGAAATACATATATGTGTGTATGTTGAAGATATTAATTCTAAAAATCTGTATCTATGTTTAGAAATATATGTTAGTCACTTTTTGACGAAAATTATATGTGTCTTTTTAGGTGGAATGGATGGATGAGAAAACTAGAACAAACGCTTTAGAAAAAGCAGCCGACATGATGTCACATATTGCCTATCCAAGTGAACTGTTGGACGATAGCAAGCTCGAGGGATTTTATAAGAACCTTGAATTGAGTGCTGACGATTATATAGGAAACATTTTTAATTTGTCTACCTTTGGAACAAATTTCTCATTTGGTAGGCTAAGACAGCCAGTGAATAAGACAGAATGGATAAGTCATGGAAGACCGGCTATTGTCAATGCGTTTTACTCGTCGATCGAGAACAGTATTCGTAAGTATATAAACATAAATTCAGTGTAAACATATATCAGTGAAAAAATGTCATTAAATTGTTATCTTGCAAGTCGAGTAATTGATGCATAATTTAATAACAAAATCTATAAAATTATATTAATTTCTCATTCTTTATAATATTTGAAAATCATTCTTTTACTTTTCTTGTAGAATTCCCCGCGGGTATTTTGCAAGGCATATTTTTCAATAATGATCGACCACGTTACATGAACTACGGCGGCATCGGATTTGTTATTGGCCATGAAATTACTCACGGCTTTGATGATCAAGGCAGACAATTTAATAAGGAAGGTAATCTTGTGGATTGGTGGGAGTCAGAGACGAAGAAGCGTTATCTCAAGAGGGCTGAATGTATAATTCATCAGTATGGAAATTATACCGTGAAAGAAGTCGGATTGAACGTAAGATTAAATTTTACATATCTATTTTTATTTTTAACAAATTTATTTCCTTACTATATGTTAAATTATTTTTATATTTTTTCGCGCGGAGCAATAAGTTACTTATATTTATAAAATATAAGTAAAACCTTAGCGGTTGTATGAGTTGTGAAACAACTCGTACTTACCGACTATACCTTTTAAATGAAATACTTTTAATAGTAATTAACAAGTGTGGTCAATAATCGTAATATCTTTTATCTTACTCTATTCATTATCGTAATTATTAGAAACAAGCAAGTTATCTTTGCAAGAATATTTATTGTTAAAGTCAATGTTTACTCACTGTCGCAGTATTGTAAGAATATATCACAATAGAACATTCATACGTAATAAAAATAATGATAATGATAACAAAAGTTTCGTAATATCCTATTCATACAAAATTACTAAGCAGCATATTGACTCAGTCAGAAAAACATGCAAAGACTTAAAAAAATATGCAGTAAATGTCTTGTAATTTTATCGTAATTTCGCGCGAAAAAAAACATATATTTAGTTTGTTAAAGAAATTTAAATATACAGAGCAATTAAATTATCAGCATAATTATTAAGTTATTCATCTCTTGTAATATACAAAGTATAATACAATAATTAATATAACACGAATCACGGACGTTTTTACGAGTTATATATAGTGTAAATTAATATTTTACTAGATCATTTTTAAAGAAATAATATCAAATTCTTTTGTATAATTATATAAAAATATTTTCGAGATTGAAACTTTGTCATAATATATATTATGTTTTTACAGTTGAACGGAATAAACACCCAGGGTGAGAATATTGCGGACAATGGCGGCATAAAGGAGGCTTATTACGCGTATAAAGAATGGGTCAAACGAAACAAACCGGAGCAGAGATTGCCCGGCTTAACGTACAGCCCGGAGCAGATGTTTTGGATAAGCGCGGCGAATTCTTGGTGCAGCAAGTATCGACCGGAAGCACTGAAGTTACGTATTACGACGGGTTTCCACAGCCCGGGCGAATTTCGCGTTCGAGGACCGCTGTCGAATATGGAAGAATTCTCGCGTGACTTTAATTGCCCGGTCGGCTCTAGAATGAATCCCGAGAAGAAGTGTACCGTGTGGTAGATCTCAGGTGTCCGCAAAATACTTGCGAACGACATCGGCTGACTGCGTTTTTAACCTTAGAAGTTACAAATTTTCGCATTAAAACAATCAAACTTTATTCTTAGCGGCTCTGCACTAAAAATACTTACGTCCAAATGTATAACATTTCTGCTTCCTAAGAGGATAGCATTTAGTTTCATATACCAAACTTTGTCATATTTATGAAATTAAAATAACCATTTTTTATGTCTACAATTTCCGAATATTTATATTGTCGCTTCTAAGGTTAATGAATGCAATGGAGACGTCGATCTCATACCAGCAGGATACAGAGGTAGCTTGTTCCCCTCTTACAGTATCCTGCCATAGCGACATTGCCTCAGCAGAGAATATTTTAACGGTAACGCTTGTTCGAAAACAAGAACTGAAATATCACGATACTACGGAGCAAAAAGGGAAGCCCTCTCCACGGGGGAAATCCATGGAGATCGACTCGACTTGCGCGATCTTAGACATGTGAGATGTACGCATAAATTATGTATCATCTTTGGTAAATTTTTAAGAAATGTCATGGGACGCGCCTACGTGTAAATAGAAAATGAAATAACATCAGATTAAAAAATTTATTAGTGATATAATATTTGGTTAATTAACTGTTTTTTAATATACAAGGCATTAGTGATTTCTGTGCCAATGACAACGTTTTTGTCGGAGGTTTTAGATTATTACAAAGAAAATTGAGTTAAATTGTTCAGCGTGTTCTAATGTAGTTTTTAATTTGAGAATTTTTATGGTTGACATATAGAGTAAAAAAAAAATGTTGGCAACTTTGTTAAAAATTCGCTTTTTATCTTTTTTTATTGTTGATAGTTTTATCGTTGACAGCTTAAGTGTTGCTTCTTAGAATAAATTTTAAAATATTTTATTGATATAGAAATGAATAGTAATAGTATATACACTATAAAGAATAGTTCGCAAAATCAATAGCGAGAAGGAAGTATGAATAAAACGGCATATTCTTCGATAAAATTGATTTTTTTGTAATAAAAAAAGAAATCTCGAGAGCCATCGTTTGTCACAACTATTTTATGTTGAGTATTATTTTGTAGTATTATTAAGTAGCAGAATTATAAATTGCAAATTAAATTTTCAAAAAACTAAAATCTATTTAATGTAATTATTAAACTAGGCTTTATATAAAAAATTTTTGTTGTCCGTTTTCTCCCTTAAAATTTCGTTGGGAAGACCATGACGTCATGAAAAGAATTATTCGTAATTATTATCTATATTATCACGCAAAGGAATAATCGATCCCTAATATTCTATGAGCCACACTTCGTATATATAGTCATATATATTATCGGCGATCCGATAATTCCGATAATTTCGTGCGATAATTTTTATTTTTTGTATATTCTCGAGCGTATGTTCTTGTGTAAGATCATTAGTCTTAGAGAATTACGAAGTTACTTAGAACAACTTATTACAAGTATTAAGCATAGCTATATAACTGCGACTGGTTGAACTGCAAAGTTCACAATTGCTTTCTACCGTACGTGTTATTCCTTGCATTTGCATTTGCATTACGTTTTTACTTTGCGCCACATCTTTCTCTCCACACTCTCCTTCCTTACACATATTTTTTTGTATTTATTACGGTAGCCGTAAGTTAATCACCGAGTTGATCAGCGTACGTTTAAGTGAAGATGTACCTTGTAAGGTATTTTTGTTGAATGTAAGAATTTAATACAGAAAAACTTTATGTGTAAATATCAATACATTTTTACGTTTCCCAGAAAAACATAATTTTCAGGTGGTTCCCTTTGAAGCAGTATTGTATCGATTTGTCCACATTTACGTACAAGCTAATTCATAATAATTATTGATAATTCTAAAAACGTTTAAAAAATAAATTACGATCACGAAACTTAAGCGAAACATAAAATTATAAGTATATGCAACATATAAATTGCAAACAATCAAATTAAATGATATTAATTTAGTTTTATATAATTTACAATTTGAGCGATGTTAAACAAAACACTAACAAAGCTTACTTACTTATTCCTGTTCCAAAAACAACGTTTTTTCTCCTATCGTTCTCTCTTTCTATCTCTCTCTTTTTTTCGTGACAGCGACCTATCAATGATGTTTCGAAATTTTTGAGACGTCGATGCATTGTAACGTGTGACAAGTTAGCAAGTCATTTGTACGTACATGCTATATTTAGTGCAGGCAGGAAAGTAAATCGCCAAATTGGAATCAAAATCGCTAACAAGGAAAGATCTTTTCGTTATTCAAATCAACGGAATCGGTAGAATACCCAGCTTACACTCGGCTAGTTTAAAGACAAAGCTCCACATTTTCTTCAAGATTACTCATTGTTCAATCAATTTAACTTAATTGACGCGTGTTTGTATATTTTGATATGTATGACGCATATTCCTAGCAAACCATAAATGTATCTGCTATATAACATTTACGTAAATGTACTCATTTTACATCTATGTTATGTCTCAGTTATATTCGGTGTTTGCTGGGATTAAATATTAATATACAGATTCAAAAAATGTTTTATCTAAGAATACATTCTCTTTATATTTATATTTTTATATCCCTTTTCTTATAAACTGCAAAACGATGGACATGCTTCGTACGTTTTCCTCAAATTTTTTCATGATGATCCATACTAATGATGATTCATACTAATAATAGTAAAACGTTCTCGTAAAAGATATGTGGGAACATACTTGTGAGAGAGACAGAGAGAGAGAGAGAGAGAGAGAGAGAGAGAGAGAGAGAGTCAGAGAGACGGAAAGAGCAGATGTGGCAAGAAGAGTGAAGACGTTCAAATACGATTAGAAGTGAGCGCATTCAGTCTGATGTTAGCAGTACCAATTGGTATCTGGATCTCGAAGGAAGGTAGCAATCTCTCTCTACAATCTCTTTCTCCTTTGATTTCTATCAAAAAGGATTGTCGAAAAGATAACGAAAAAATCGCGAGAAGAATAAAAGAAACGTAATAGCCACGAGATATTTCCAAAAGTCCCGGAAACGACCATAAGTTTCCCGGTTGAATTAGGAACCGAAACGAAAGGAAGAGACACAGAACATAAGAATGGGCGGTTATGCGATAGTGATACTTGTGTAAAAAGATGCAACTCTCAGTAAGACATAGAGGATATTAATCTAATCACGATGACCAACGGTACGAAGCAAATGGTTATCAAGTGAGTTGACGCAGTAGTTATTTATTAAAAACAGCAATTATTGCCCACAGTAAAAGTGATCTTTTACCGAAAGTGTATTCCCCGAATTATTTTCTTCACCTTAAGTACAGCTATCTCCCTCTATTTACAAACTAATTTGATAATAACTAATTTAATATTTGCGATGCAGTAATTTATGCAAAATTATTCTATAACGTTACAGTTAAAGATAATCGAATGCAAGCTAAATTCGTAGGAACAAAAATTATTGACAAAAAATAGAATAGTGAAAAAGATATTTAACGCTTTTCATAAATTTAATTACGAAGCGCACCGAGAAATATTGTGTTTCAATGTATGCAAAGACAAACATGCAGTAATAAAACGTACTAGGCGTTGATGTCATATCGAGAACCAGACGGCTACTGCGATGCAAAAAAAAACAGCAACGAGTTGAGAAAGAATAATCTTTTCTTTTAAAAATGTATTAGGTTCGTATTCACAACACGCTTATAACGATATTAGCGCAATATTTAGCATATAATTTATGTTACACATACTATAGAATTACGGACTTGTTGGCGCGCTAACATCGCGTGTAAGCGAGTTCTGAATATATAGGCATTAGCCTTAGCGAGCTTCGGTAACATTAATAAATATTCATAGAATTACGCATCACGCCACTCCTCGACAATTTTTATCTTGCGTCTGCAAACGTATATCATAAAAATCAAACTACTTACGTTTCCTCTTCGCAACTATTGTCTGGTAAAAAAAAGTCCGCTTTTCGTACAAGGATATCTATTGAAATTTGTCTCGTAAAGTTTAAATTGCGTAACAGTTTGCAACTGTTATTCGTAAGCACAAAAACATTTTTTTATGATTTGTACGCAGTTGCAACTTGCACGTACGTCTCGAAGAAACTTACGTTTAAGCAGTGTGGTCATCAAATGCAATTGTTCGTAATACTTCATAATGACATACCTAGTTGCCACATCCTCGTCTTTAAAATAATAATGTATGATGTACTGTTTTACGATCTTCAACTCTACAATTTTTAACTCTGTACGTAACATTTATAGCTGACAATATATAAAGTCTATATAACTGACATATAGTTAACAATTAAATTACACTAACTCAGGCAGAATTACATTGCGAATAATAAGATAGTACAATTTCAACAAAATAAGATTTTCAAATTTTCGAAATAAAAAAATTATAAAGAGATTTTGAAGAACAGGCACATGTATCATCATCAGAACGAAGAGTCATGCGAATGAACGAAGGCAAAGAATAAGATAAATGCATATCAAAGTAAATTAAGATCCACCCGAGGTCAACGGATTTCAGACACCGCTCAAGAAATGCACTCCACAAAAATTTTCACGCGCTTTTATATTTTATGAATGTATAGTTCGTTATTTGTAATTATGTCGCTGATGAGGATAGCTAAAAGTTAGCCAAAACGTACGAAATGTTATAATTTTTACTACACCTTATTAAAATTATTTTATTTATCGCAAATAATGAATAATATTATGAATAAAACTATGAATTTGCGCACCTCTTATACAGCGTCTAATTCCCATAGCCTTCTTCTTGTTAATTATTGCAATTTTAATCTTGGGAGTTCTAATAATCTCGTTTATTTATTTTATTCCAAATTATTCTATTAATGATATTTATATTTTTAAAACAGGGTACATATATTTTTAGCGATAATGTAATTTTGTTTATATCATTGCTGTAATTTTATAATTTTTGAGAAGGAATCCGATATGGTGGAAGAGGCGATCCCGTATGGAACGCCGATTAACGGTGATAGCGGTTTTCGGATTTCTCTTGTGCATCGCCTTGGCGATCGCTCTCGGAATTTTGGCGACCAACATGACATGCAACACCACGTCAAAAACCGGTAAAAACACATTTTTAGCGCAACATGAATCGTTCATCACGCATGTTGCAAACGCATGCTGTATTGTTTGAAAAGCATTTAAACGCAGCACTTTTACTCCTTGCAGAGATTTATAATAAAATTTAAAAAAATCTCATTTACGTGTAGCTTTGAATAAATTGCTTAAATCTTCTTTATTTCAAAACTGAATCATCAAATATATTAAATGCTTGTTACATTTAATATGTTAATCTTCTTATATGCTTTCCTGAAAATGATACGTTGATGAATAAGATATATTAGATAATATAAAAATAATTCATTAAAGAGAAACAGAAACAAAATATTTAAATATTTCTTTTAAATTTAATGGTGAAAGAAAAAACTTATAGAATACATTTTTTATACATAATTCTAAATATTTCTAGCATTCTAATATTTAAATTTTTAATATAAATTAAATAATATAATTTTGTTTTCTTTTACTTCTGATTTATTTTAAAGAATAAAACTACAATTTTAAATGCAGAATAAACAAAGAAGATTTAAGCGTTTTTAAGAATTTTATAATTATATTCTTTATTTATAAAAATCTATTACCATATTAAATTTCTACTTATTTTTGAAATGTCAAAATCGAAAAGAAAATTGTTATTTTACTTATTTCAATATAAATTTATAAATCCTGGAAATATAACAGCAAAGTACCGACATCCCATGACGTACCTTAATCTCGTGAAAAAAACATTATTATTAATTAACAATTATCTAATTGCATTAATTCTTGAAACGAAATTACTACTGACAATGTCAGTAACAAGCTAATCATAATTCCTCGTAATATGGCAACGGCAAACTTCTGTAATAACTTACACGGTACGCAATTTATAATACAATAAATCTGAATTTAATTCCTTAAACATCCTTTTTCAAATCATGTGTGTTAAAACTTCATTAACAAATTCGTAAGATGACAAACTTCTGCATACGATGCTTATAAGAATTCATATAATTTCTAATGCATTGAAACAGACATATTACAATACATTACATTATTTTTTTTAAATAGAAAGAAAAAATTTCACATTTTAACAAAATAGCTTAACAATTTAATCGCATAAAAAATACAACACGAAACAAGCAAGATAATAACTTAACAGAGAAACAATATCAAATTTCATTGTGTACTCTGATGTACACAGTTTAACTTCTATCGCAACTTGTGAATTGGCTGTTCCATCGCATTAATTAATTTGTCACTGTTATGCATTTTTTCCGCATCTGCATCCGCACAAGAACAAATATGGTTAAAAAAGAGAAATGTGTGTTACCGTCCACAGTAACGTTAAATGATGCGAACACATCGAAGTACATAATGCCAAATAAAATGATATATAACGATGTCTGTTTAACACCTGGATGCGTTCACGCAGGTTAGTAAACTATATAGTAATATATATATATATGGCTAAACTTGGATTTTTTATCTATCTAAATATTTTAGTAAAACTATCAAACGATATATCGCCGTATGAGTAATAGATATCAACATATCTTTTAAAAATTATTACGTATAAGAAACCTATTTTATCGATCATTGCATAACAACACAATGCGATGAACAATTTGTTAGAAGATATTTACTTATTAAAGATATTTCAAATAACTACTTATAAAATTTACACATTAAATATTACATGTTCTATACAACATAAATTATAAATTTTATAAATAATCCAACTCGACAACTAGGAAATCACTATTTCGAAATATCGGATTGTACTAATCTGCTCAACGTACATGTATTGCAGCCTCGCAAGTAATAAAAAACATGAATCCTGATGTGGAACCCTGTGATGATTTTTACAAATTCGCCTGCGGTGGCTTCATCGAATCCACTATAATTCCTGACGACAAATATTGGGTGACTACGTTCTCTGCTATGATTGATGATATTGAGAAACAATTGCGGCTCAGTATCGAGCAGGACAGTCCATCAAACGAGTTGAAACCATTTAAACTTGCCAAAAATTTCTACAAATCCTGCATGAATAAAAGTAAGCAATCGCGACATTTTTCGTATAAGTCACCAAACTCAAAATACTGACTCGTGTAATGAATTTACTAAAATTATAGCAAAATTAATAAAATTGTAAATTCTATTGATAATTTAATAATATCATAGCAAGATTTGATCTCAATAAATTGTTCTAAAAAAAAAGTATAGTTGAAATACTTTAACGCGTAATGTATTAGAAAAATAACTATATAACATTTTGTAAACCCTTTAAAAATTTATAATACCAATTGAGATAAGATAAAAAAATAAAAAGATTTTTTCTTTTTATCTTTTTTTATTTCAATTCTAAATTTACTGTTTCTTTTAGCCGCTATCGAGCAGAAAGGCTTGACACCATTATTGAACAACCTAAGGAAACTCGGTGGCTGGCCTGTTTTGGATGGTGAGAAATGGAACGAGGACGATTTCATTTGGAAAGATTCCGTCTACAAATTCCGCAGATTGGGCTATTCTCCCAGTTATTTCATTGATATTAGTATTAATCAGGACTGGAAAAATAGCTCGAGATATTTGATTAACGTAAGCACGTCATTTATTTTAATATCGGAATAAACATAGAACAAAGATCATAATTCATAAGTACAAAATCATATATAAAGTAAAATATTAATAAGTAAAATGATATAAATTATAGTTATTTCTCTAAGCCAAATATATTAAGGCATTTATTCCTAACAGGTATACGCTAAATAAAAATTGATAATTTTTAATAGCTCAATTCACCAGGATTCGGTCTCGGGCGCGAATATATGACAAAAGACAACGAAAAAATTGTCGAAGCATATTACGAGTACGTAGTAGACATCGCTGTAATGCTCGGGGCGAATCCGGACCGAGCCCGCAAAGAATTAGAAGAATCAGTTCAATTTGAACTTAATCTCGCCAGCGTAAGCTATCCTTACAGTTATTAATCAATACGAAATAATTTTATAGAGTTGTGATAAAAAAAATAATTTTTCCATGTCGTCAGTAGATTAAAATTAATTTCAACTGATTTAACGGATAAATATCGTACGCAGTGCTCCCCGCCTTTTCCAGAACAACGTAACTTAACTCTTCTCTACAATCCCATGACTGTGAGTGAGCTGTCTGCAGCCTATCCTAAAATACCATGGTGGGAATACCTTAACACCATCCTTGCACCGAAAGTACAATTAAGTCGGGACGATATAGTAATCGTGCTTGACCCAGGGTATCTGAAGGGTTTCGAAAAATTGATCAATACGACGCCGAAGAGGGTACAGGCAAACTACGCGCTCTGGAGAGCGACTGCTGAGTCAGTCAAGTACCTAACAGATGACATCCGGAAGAGACAGTTGAAATATACTACGGTATTAAACGGAAAGACAGAAAGAGAACCGAGATGGAAAGAATGTATAAACACTGTTTTCGACAGCGTAATGATAATTAGTATTAGCTCGATGTATGTGAGGAAGTACTTTAAAGAGGACGCAAAGAAAAC